TCATTTGATTAATTTTTTAAATATTTTTTTATAAGGGGATTAATGCAGAGTTTTGGAGTGTTAGCAGGAAACAAAATGTAAATTAAAAAAAAAATGAAAATATATAAATCTAATCAAAGATTTATTTTAGAAAATAAATCAAATGTATGATGTCATTAACTTTTGTTTGTTTGACGAAACAAATTGTTTCGATATAGTCTAGGCAAAACGAAAATTTCGTTCTTAAGAATGTATCGCAATTTACAGTGACAGTGAAGCTTGATACATGACATTTCTTTAAATGTATTTATAAAGAATTTTTTTTCAAAGCTGCACACCAGTACCATGGTTCATAAAACAAATGGCATTGTGTCCCTTTTAGCGTTGCTTTCATGCACAGCCCTTCAACGTGAATCCACAATCCCGGTGCACCATTGTTAGTAACCAACTAGTACACCATTTTTACTTGTTCTAACTTGAATGCCAAATGCTTGGGACTGAAGCTCTTTTAATGGCTTTAGTTATTGAGTGTGTACCAAAAGCACACACACACACACAGTTTAGTCAGCACTGACCTTTAGCCCCACTTACCCTGTTAAAGACGGTGTCTTTAAGAATCGAACAACTTGATCTGACAGCGCGCTGCAAGTTCCGCCAAGAACCTATCAGGTGAGTTTGTACAGTAACACAGTGTAATTAACGTGCTCCACTCTACGGCATATCTCCCTCAACTACCGTCGTAGTACTCACAGTAATTGACATTGACTTTACTCTCAGTCAGTTAACGGTGATGTCTCTAAGCCCTCCTGGAAATCTAAGGGGTTGGGGGTGGTGGTAGGGTGCTACTTCCAGGGAAACAAAGAATCAAGGACCTGGGAAATGGGGAGACAATTTGTCACCTTTAGATACAACTTTCGCTCGAAGATTATCTTTACTTATACATGTCAAATTTGCTTGTTTAAGGAGGCCCTTCTTGTCTGGTTTGTGAGGTCTCAATGATGAAGAGAGATACGCCAGTGGTTTTTTCTTTAACCCCCCCCCACCACCCCCCAAACCAAACTTTTCCCGATGTCACAAGAGTAGTCTGGGAGTACAGCTTTTTTGCGAGGCAGCCGCCATCATCGATCAGGAGACACATTATAGCAGTCCAAATCTGCTTTACTTATACATGTCAAATTTGCTTGTTTAAGGAGGCCCTTCTTGTCTGGTTTGTTAGGTCTCAATGATGAAGAGAGATACGCCAGTGGTTTTTTCTTTAACCCCCCCCCCCACCCCCCAAACCAAACTTTTCCCGATGTCACAAGAGTAGTCTGGGAGTACAGCTTTTTTGCGAGGCAGCCGCCATCATCGATCAGGAGACACATTATAGCAGTCCAAATCTGCGTACCTTAAGAAGAAAAGGATCTCAGTTCAATAAAAAACAACAACACAAAAACAACTTCATAGAGATCTTCATGCGGTCCTAATATGTAGCAAACTCATTGTAAATTGACGTGGACTGACTTAGCCCCTTGAATAAATAATTGGTGACTTTGGTATGGTCGAACTTTCATCATGTAAGCATGTGTGAAGCGTAGCTGATAAAACCTGGGTTTGGTTACTACTACTTTGGTTTGCAACACGCAACGGTTGGGTCATGGGGCCGGCCCTGGTTGTGTCTTGGGTTGGCTCTTGTTGGGTCAAGGGCCAGTCCTGTTGGGCAAGGGCCGGCCCTGGTTGTGTCTTGGGTTGGCCCTTGTTGGGTCAAGGGCCAGTCCTGTTCGGTCATGGGTCCGGCCCTGGTTGTGTCTTGGGTTGGCCCTTGTTGGGTCAAGGACCAGTCCTGTTCGGTCATGGGTCCGGCCCTGGTTGTGTCTTGGGTTGGCCCTTGTTGGGTCAAGGGCCAGTCCTGTTGGGTCAAAGGCCGGCCCTCCTTGAGCCAAATATGGCCATACGTCATACTCATTTGAGTTTTCTATACTTCAACTGTGCCTAGAGTTGTATTTTAAACTGTTCAGCTTCTTGGAATTGAAATCACAATACGAAAAAAATGAATTATAAAAAAAAATATTTCCACATATCCTATAAAGTTTATATTTCACAAACAATTTTATATGAATTAGAATTACCCTCTAAAAGTTGTGACACAACTGCCAAGTGATTATTTTGTACAATTTTTTTTTTTCCGCAACTAAACTGGATACCTTGGGCTTTAACAAATATTTGAAAATGCATTTTTTTTTTCAATGCGTAACAAGCATATGTATTCATTCAATCAGTGGTTATTTTTATTTTCAAACTTAATTATTTTCTGAAAATATAAATAACAGAATCATAGTCCCCCAGGTACAACATTCCTCATTAGGACAATGTGTCTTGAAAGAACCATAGTCCCTCAGGAACACCCGTCCTCATTAGGACAATGTGTCTTGACAGAACCATAGTCCCCCAGGTACACCAGTCCTCACTGAAGGCAATATGGACCATCAGACACAAACTCCTTGGTTAGTTTGGCGATTATTTATGCGCTCTTCCCTTCCTCTTTATTAAAGCAGTTAATAAACATTTCTTTGAAGGAAGTTGGGGGGAAGGGGAAAAAAGTATGGACTAAACCATGGGTTGGTGCAATTTGTTTGACGAGGGCTGGGCTCTGAGGACCAGATTGACAGTGACAAATTCAACGTGCCCTTCAAGTGCGAACCAATGGCTGGGCTCTGGGGACCAGATTGATAGTGACAAATTCAATGTGTCCTACATGTGTGAATCAAGGGCTGGGCTCCGGGGACCAGATTGATAGTGACAAATTCAATGTGTCCTACATGTGTGAGCCAAGGGCTGGGCTCCGGGGACCAGATTGATAGTGACAAATTCAATGTGTCCTACATGTGTGAACCAAGGGCTGGGCTCCGGGGACCAGATTGATAGTGAAAAATTCAATGTGTCCTACATGTGTGAGCCAAGGGCTGGGCTCCGGGGACCAGATTGATAGTGACAAATTCAATGTGTCCTACATGTGTGAGCCAAGGGCTGGGCTCCGGGGACCAGATTGACAGTGACAAATTCAACGTGTCCTTCAAGTACGAACCAAGGGCTGGGCTCCGGGGACCAGATTGACAGTGACAAATTCAACGTGTCCTTCAAGTGCGAACCAAGGGCTTGGCTCCGGGGACCAGATTGATAGTGACAAATTCAATGTGCCCTACATGTGTGAACTGAGCATCTCACAAATGTTAATTTATAAAAAAACGCCTATTTAATTCATAAGACAAGTTTTTCCTTGTCAAATTGCAATATGAAGAAATAAATTGGTGTTTTTATAACTAGTCTTATTACATTAATTTGATTTTGACTCCAAATTAAATATTATTACGTAAAACAGACATTTGAATTGCACAATCGTCTCTCACACATATGACACAATAACTTTTAGTTGAGGCTCAAAGCTAGAACTATCATCAAAATTCTTTGCAAGTGCTTATCAAATAAGGCTACTCTCTAGATTATATATTTCATTTTGTATGGCTTCTCACACAAGCAGGCAGTTCCAAAGACCGAAATGAATTCACCAAAAATGTCATTTTAATAAGCTAATCGGTCGCCTAGGGGAGCCACTTATTAGAGAAGTCTAGTCTGTCTTCTTCAACGTGTACATGTAATTGGATTGCAGATTGATAACTTCGACATTTATTGGATTTTATATCGATTACTTCATTTTAATTTCAGCTGGAAGCTAATCAACGGATGTCTCCAGTCAGAAGGCACTACTTACACAAACTCGCGTGAGAATGTGCCTGTTGCTTCCTGCGCGAAGTTTTCACCAATGGAAATCACCAGTCATGCAAACACTCTTCAACAGTTTAGCAGGAGGCTTAAACTTCTAATTCCACATTTTTTACAAATTTTGTGTGATAAAATTCCATTTCATTTATAATGACTTACCAACAAAATACTTTACATTAGATTAGGCGTAGTTTGTAATTAAAACAAGAATCTTAGTCTTCTTCATTCTATTGGGTGGATAAGGGTATAAATACTGTTTACACCCAGACGTTGAGTTATGTTCATACTGAATTTGTAAACCCATCCATCCCTAAATGTCTCATTTATAAAACCAAACCCATTTTCAAATCACTAAAACTTCCTAATTTATAAGATAATTTCAAGTAATATTTTGGTCAGATAAGTAGCCAGTGTCAGTAGGGATGTGGGCTCGCGTGATGGCTGCACTGTTCCCCATCCACTTACTACTCTGCCAACGCTGCTTAAACGACAGTGTCCCTGCCATAGATCTTATATGTATAAATAAATAAGTATTCACTGCAAAATTATTTATTTCGCATATGATAGATATGCCCCAGAGTTTAAATTAAATTACAAAAGTGAAGGTAAATTAAAAAAAAAATATTTCAAGGTCTCAAAATAGTTACAATGAGCATATTTTAACAAACAGTTTCCAGCGGAGGCCCTCGAACCCTCTTGCCGGAGGCCCCTGGACCCCTCTGTAGCTGGAGGGTATCCCCCCAAACCCTCCTTGGGGGTGTCGCGTTTATTCCAGTTTATGATTTGGTCCCCCTACCTAGGTCCTTCACTCCTGACTCCTGACCTTTTTTCCTACACATTTGATATTAATACTTGATTTAGTGGTCAAATAATTGTATAACAATTAAACTATTGATGCTGTTATTTTTAATGTTGCTAGTAATGATAGGTTTCGTTTAAAAAAAAAAAAAAAAAAATTGTTTCAAAAGTCTATGCAACTGAATTTGTTTTTGTTCCAGTAAAATTTAATTTTCTTTTTTTTATTTAATTTTATGTTTTAAAAATTTTTTCCTACACATTTGATATTAAAACTTGATTTAGTGGTCAAATAATTTTATAACAATTAAACTATTGATGCTGTTATTTTTAATGTTGCTAGTAATGATAGGTTTCGTTTAAAAAAAAAAAAAAAAAATTGTTTCAAAAGTCTATGCAACTGAATTTGTTTTTGTTCCAGTAAAATTTAATTTTCTTTTTTTAATTTCACTTTCTGTTTTAAAAATATGTACAAAGTAGTTGATGTGTATTTACGCTTTTGTGGGTGGGGTGTATTATCTAAACTAAAACGAATAACATTTGGGTAGCCAAAACTTGCTGTTGTCACTTCAAACTTGCAGCCTAAATTTTTGTACTGAAACGATATAGGTAAGATAATACGATTTTACTTTTTCACCAATGACCGGCGAACAGTGACTGTAGTGCATGACTTTGAACATGGATCATTGCTAATGGCCTAAGCCTAATACTAATACTAATGGCTAATGGCTAATGAATTATTGATTTGAAGAATGAGAATCATTGCTCATTGCAACTTTCGAGATTGATTGTAATTTTGGTAAATTAAATTGAATTTTGAATGCCTATGCCTATCGTATACAGTAGGCCTATAATATACTCAATACTGTCTATGTGACTGAAATATGATGAAATAAATGATGCCGTTGCCTGATGGCCATTGTCATTGTACTAATCATTGTTTTTCATGCATTCAATCATTCTCTTCGAATCAATAATTGATTGATTGATTGAATGACATTGATAGCAATAGTAGCCACAATCTTCTTGCAATGATTCATTGCAGCGGGCCCAGTGACAATCACAATACAATGTAAAATGTAAGGGCAAAGTCAATGATATGAAATCAGCTGAACAGTGCAATCGGGTGTCATGATTTTGTTGCCAAACTGATGACCTCCATTAGCCTATTTAAATTTGAGTTGAACATTGAATTATGTACTCATTACTAAATTAATATCAATTTTGTCTTGTTTTTGACTCGGCCAGAAGTTAGACTTTGACTTAGACCAGAGAAAATAAGGCACAGTTGAGTTATTATGAAGAGGATTAGCTTAGACTATTCCAGGGGTGGCCAACCCAAATGGCTCCGCCGTTCATTTATTCTCTATCACTTCAGTCTATGCACATAATTCTTAGAGATTTTAGATGTTAACATGTCCACTCATGCCACCATACACATAAATAAATTGTATAGATTTTAATTGGGATATAAAAATAACTCTTAATACTTACCGTATTTTCTGGAGTATAAGATGACTCTTAACCCATGAGAATCTTTTCAAAAGTCGGGTGTCATCTTATAAGCTGGTATACGATGTGCTGAAATCTCAGGGGCAGGCACCCTCTAGGTCCAGTTTGGTTGACAGCTTAGAAAACAAATAGCATGGCACCTCCCATGTGTTTATTGTCTTATCCTTCCTTTCTGTTCTTTTTTAATTTTTATTTGGTGTGCCTTGGAAGAGGAATAGTCTTTAACAGTGAGTATAACCCAAACCCTATATTTTAACAGGAAAAGTAGGGGTCGTCTTATACGCCCAATCATCTGATATGGTTACATATATATAGTAATGTCACTATGATCTGCAGGGAAGGGTGGGAGAGTAGAAATCAATCATGCCAAAGGAGGATTCCTGAGCAAGTGGGGGTAGGTGTCTGGTGAGGCAAAAATATTTGATAAATTGGGACATACCGGAATTTAGTTTAGTGGGGCATACCGTCACAAAAAAGTACTGTATATATATACATATATTTATATATTTTTAACCATATTTATGCAGCAGTTATTAAGATGGTTAAAAGGTACAGAAGGCTAGACAAACAACACCAAATAGTTGACAAATGGAGGCCACACCTTAAAAGAAAACAGAAATCGCTACTAGATGTAGCCTCTGAAGAGAAACACAATCTACCAAAGAATTACAAATCATATCTGAAGATTTATCCTCAAACCAACATTTTGAGGCCGAAGTGACTGCTATTAAAGCAGCGCTACACCATCTGTCTGCAATCTTCACAGCCTAACCCAGCTAACGAAAGAAAGGAATTTAGTCATCTTCTCCAATTGCAAATCAATACTTCAGACAGCTGAGTTTCAAGATCTTACAACAGCCACAACAGTAAAATTACTACTTCTAAATGCATAACACCTACCATGAAACCTATCCAGTGAGACTAGCTTTACAATGGATACCAGAGAACCACAATACCGGCATACTGGGAAATAAAAAAAACAGACAAACTAGTGAAATAGGGTGCATCCAAGGAACAATCAAACATAATTACACCACTAAACACAGCAAAGCAGATTATCAGACGTATCAAAAATGATGCGTTATATAGAGGGGATATGGGCTCAACAGGAAGATGTGTGTTCACACTTATGCCCATAACTGACCTTAAAGATCCAATAAATAATCTTTTCGCCTGAGCACAGGACACACAGGACTAAGTTCTCACCATCACCGCATCAAATCAGATAAAACTCTAAAGTGTTTGATGCTTATGCTTTTAATAAAACTAATAATTTTAGAAAGTCAGTATGAGCAGACTCTATAGCACTATAAACATCAAATCATTATGACTAGCCTTTAACTTTAAATCATACTATAAGGTATGATCTATTTTTCTGTAACTTTTCTTAACAGTAACTCATGCGTCTGAGCAGCACTCGGAAATTGATACAATTAACATCAGCTTCAATAATGACAGCCTTGAACAGGGGCCATTGTGATTCAGTTAGAGAAGAAGTTATCCAAGTTGGAAAGGTGAAAACAAATGTCTTAAAAGTTGGACATTTTAGAGAAAGACTTCCTACAGACGCCAAGCAAGTGTTAATGTTAATTATACCAGGTAAGTTACAATACCTCGGCTACTTTTGGGCTATTATTTGTAAAGTAACAGAGGTCATAATTGTATTTAATTAAAAGATATATTGATTAGGATGATGCTAACTTGATTAAATACTGCAACTATTAATAAGTAATAAGTTATGGATATTATTTTTTGTTGCAACTTTTTAATGTTTTTTGATGGTGTGACTTTAATGGAACAATTTTTAAATCCTCTCAGTAAAATTTTAAAAATGTTTTATGATAATGTCAACAGTTCATAAAAATTTGCAGGCAATCCTGGTGTTCCATATTTTTATGAGGATTTCATGCAAGAACTGTACAGTCACTGTGATGGGCAGGTTCCAGTGTGGACTATTGGCCATGCAGGTCATGTAAGACCAAATGATGCTCAACTTACAGTCAGTGATATATGTATGTAAACATCTCCATGAATTAGCAATGGTTAATTACAATTTGAGACACACCTGGAACATTTAGAAAAAGACTGTGCAAATATTTCTATCAAAAGCCAACCATTTTAAGTAACTTACAGAGTATTGTTGAAAATTGAGAATATTTGAGAAATCTTTAAAGTTTAATAACACTAAAAGATTAAATTATTGCATTTTAAATATGTTTTGTGATACCTTGTTTTAAATACAGAAATTATCAGTGATAATTTGCTGGACATAATATTTCAAAATATGTTTTTTAAAATTTCCAAACAACTGTAAGTAAATTATTGTAAAATTTTAAAATGTCCATTTGTTTAATAACTTTTATTATTTTAAACTTTTGGTCACTTAACTCCTATATTATAAATATAAGTTTAAGTGATATAACAGATTTTATCATGATGCTATTTGTCTCCAGATTCAACTAAGGAAGATATGTTTGGTCTGGAAGCTCAAATTAAACACAAGGTTGATTTCATTAAGGAAAATATTCCACCCGATGTGTCTCTTATTTTGATTGGTCATTCCATTGGTTGCTACATGATTCTGAATTTACTTGATGAGCTGCCTGCCAAACAAGTTCTTCGCTGCTTCATGCTCTTCCCAACCATAGAGCATATGGCTGAATCCCCAAATGGAGTGAAGATTACCCCCATCCTCAGGCATCTGCGTTGGCTTGTTGTATTCATCGCATTTCTACTTTATTTAATTCCGCACATTGTTAGATGCAATCTTATCAGATGGTGGTATAAGAATGTTGATTATCCTAGTTGTATGGAGAAAGCAGTTCTGGAAACGTTGACGCCATGGACAGTAAATTTTACCACATACCTTGCCAGGATTGAAATGAACAAGGTTACCACCCTGCAAAGGGATTTGTTAGATAAACACAGTAGCAAGCTGAGTTTTTATTATGGGTCCTCAGATAACTGGGCACCAGTTAAGTACTATCACAATCTCGTATCAGAGTTTCCCAAATTAGATGCTAGGCTTTGTACCTTGAACTTGAAACATGCTTTTGTTCTAGACACTCAAGAGGGTAGAGAAATGGCTAAAATTGTGTGGTTGTGGGCCCAGTCTCACCATCATACTGTGCTATCTTCACAAAATCTTGATGATGGAGAGACTTGGGTGTTCAATGAATCTTGAGGTATATTTTATATTTTGTTAATTTGATAAAAATGAAATGCATAGAACTTAATAAATTTGTAAAACTTCATATAAAAATTATTACGTTTTTGTAATAAAACAAAATGTGTAACATTCGCCACAAAAAGAGATTTTGGGCATCCGGTGTATTCAGGTTCATATTTTGCTTTTAAGCCTGTCATCAGATTAAATAGTTTTCTAATCCAACATTTGAAGAATTGTTATATTTTTGTACATGTAAAGTAATTTTCAATGTATTCATTTTTTGTTACTATTCCAAACAAGAAGTTAAATATTTCATGGATACGTAAAAGCATACTGCTGTGATGTATTATAATTATATGTTTTGGAAGTGTTTTTTCTGATCTTGAAAATTTGGCAGGCCAGCCTAATAATCTGATGTAAATTAACGGTTAGAGGTACACAGAGTATAGAAATCATCCTACTAAAAGTTACTAAAACGTTTTGCGTTAACCCTTGAAGTAAATAATAGTATGAATAAGATGCATCTACTTTAGACAGTGAAATTTAGGTTGCCTATTCATAGTGTATTGAGAAAGGTAATCCCACTGTATCAGGCATAGCATCTTTGTTACACAGGAACAATCTTATGCCTTGAGCAGTTTTTTTTACATTGGGCTGTGAAAAAGAAGGTGAAGTGTACAACTAATGCCAAGTCCCAGGAAACATTTTGAATATCAGCTTGCTCTGCTCAGAAAAAGCAACTGGGAACTTCTGGTTCTGAAAAGGACAGTTGGAGATCCTTAAAAAAACTGTCAAGTAGTGTCTCACCAGGAAGAGGCAATATCTGGATTGGCTATTTGTACTTTCTAAAGAAAGCCAAATTTTTTGTATTTACAAATTATATTTGTTAAAGTACGGTAATTTATTTCTTAATTTATCTGTGCAAAATTTTGCATTTGTTAAAAAAAACAACAGTTAATCTATTAAGCATTTCTGGCAATAATAAAGGATCAGATACAGAATTCAAATTCAATGTGTCAGTTTATTATTTTTAAAACCAAAAATAACATTAAAAAAAAAAAAAAGCATGTTCATTTTAAATGTTAAGGAAAAGTGTCAAACATGAACTGATTACACAGCCAATACAATAAACAACAGTTAATCTATTAAGCATTTCTGGCAATAATAAAGGATCAGATACAAAATTCAAATTCAATGTGTCAGTTTATTATTTTTAAAACCAAAAATAACATTAAAAAAAAAAAAAAAGCATGTTCATTTTAAATGTTAAGGAAAAGTGTCAAACATGAACTGATTACACAGCCAATACAAATTGAATACTATAACATTGAATACCTAAACAAAAGTATTTCTAATTTCGAAACATATTTTAACATTTCTAAAAACTAGATCTACATTTACATATATAATAAAAATGTATTTTTAAAAACATGTATTTATTATACATGTAACTCATTCATAAAAGTTGACACTACTGAAGTACTTCACTTCTCGTTACATTTCTACCAAGTAAATATTAACTATAATTTACATAAAAATTACATTTTGAATGAATTCAATGAGTTGCCCTACAAATAAAATGGATATTGCATAATGGAACAACAATAAACTATGCAAAATGACTCTCCTCCCTGGGGGCAAAGTTCATCAAACTCAGGTGTAGTAATAATAATATGGAAGTTGGTAAATATAACTATAATGCTTTGCAAATTTATAACTTGTATATTTATCTTTAAAATAAATTGAGAAAATGATATAGCTGTATGCCTCACTCTTACATTGTTTTCAGTTCCTTGGGACTGTCTTGAATTGAACCCTCCATGAATTTTTTCACCACTATGATGAACTTACTTAGTTGTATTACTTAGTCTGATAAGAGTTATGGTAATACACGACAAACCAATGTTAATGCAAAGCTAGGTAATGCAATTAATGTCATCCTGTTTGTAAATAAAATAATTGGTAGCAATAGCAGAAGTGATGGATTGCTCATTATATAAACCTCAACACTGACCCTTTACTTCCATTTCAACTGGACACCAACTCATGACCTATAGCGTAACATACAATACAAGGTCATGTCTGATAGCATAACATACAACAATGTCATGGCATAATATTAACTAAATGATAATTCTTTGTATAAATGCATGTTCCTTGTTTTAAATTTTTGCAACTTGATGAAAACCAATTAATTTTTCAATATTATGAAATCAATAATTCTTCACTTTTGTTGTGTATATCAGCATTCTATACTAATGTAAGGTCTAATCGGAAGCATCACAACATAAAAGAAAAGTATGAATAAAAAATATGTCACAGAAAGATGGCGATATTACAATTATGGGTGTGTATTAATAAAAGTCATAATAACAAATGCACATTTAAAGTTATTTTTAAACTCGTATCACATCAGTTGATATTATTGACAAACATGTCACTTGTTACAATTTAACAAAAATTAAATCTACATAAGTGGAACATTAAGATGTTTACAATTATTTCATTGCATTTTCTTCTTAGCATTTAAAATTTTTTTCTTCTGCATCTTTGCTAAAGCTTCAGTTGCACAATTATCCATAAACATATCAACGTTATGTCATCGATGCTCTATTAAAAATTTCATTGCTTTAAAAAAAAGATGCTTAAAATATGAAATAGATGTTTATGCAATTCATGAAGTAAAAAAGCTATTTGACTTGGTATGATGTTCAAATAATAAAACAACAGCTTGGTTGACCGAAACAATTGGTGCATAGTCTCCTGACAAATGAGCAAAGAAATAGACCCCAAAAAATAATCTTCGTTAATATGATTTAACAAAAGCTAGATTTAGCAAAATTAACCAATGCATCAAGACAGTTAAGTTTTGTTGAGTGAGTTATCCATTAAATCTTGTGTTAGACTAAAGTGAATGTTTATTTAAGCTTTCTTAAAACTTTTTACTTTCTGAAATAGTATAAAATTAATGATGACAAAGTTTTTCTAAGATATGTAATGGAAGAGACCTAGATAATATGACTTGACATATGAATTTATTTTAAATATGAAAGAGTCAACAGAACAAGGTGTAAAAATACATACAAGGACATCAAATTATTTCAAACATATACTCACAGTATAGAGACCACAAGGAAAGGGGCACGAATTGGATTTTTTTACCTCCACTTCCTGATTTTAATATTAGTAAACTGTTAATAGAAATCCCAAAATGAACACTTCTTCTGAAAACTAACATAATTGTCAAAATTAAAACTAACACCGTAAGTTAAGTACCCTACAAAAAAAAAAAAGGTTGATATTCACAACCTCATGCAATATATTGCTGAACAAAGTATTGTAATACCTAGATTGTTTCCCTTACAATTTAGATTTGTTGGGCTTGGCACCCTTAATCCAAAAGAGCTAGTTCAAATTAAACTTAAAGACAATTTGTTTGGAGGGAGGGGTAAGAGTTCAGAGCAAGCTTCCTGTTAATTTAAAATTGCACGGACAGGTTCACAATGAAACCTAGTTTTATCTGAAATGGACATGAGCCTACACAATTTAAACATTTTTTAATAGGTTCGTTCATTTTTAAATTAAATTTAATTGTATAATATCCAAAACACTGAAATGTTTCGTCTTGAGTAACATCAGATCTAGGAATAAATTAAGAGCATGGCACACAAAATTGTCTTTAATAGTTACATGTTTAAGCAGAGCAAGAAAAAACATCATTGAGATCCTTTAGTCTTTGGTCCTTTAATCTTCCTTATCCAAATACGCCTTGTGACTGTGGTAACATAGCCACTCATCTATTTGGCCTTTGAAAGCTGACAATGAAAATTTATAGACAGTTCAAAATAGAGTTAAAAAAATTCAATTTCAAGGCCAGCTAGGAAAAATTACTCAGAGCCCCCCCCACCCTAAAATAAAAATATAATTCAAATGTCAAATCTTTTTAACATGTTCATCCACAAATAAAAAACAATCCAGGTCTTTTCCCAAAATACTACATAACAGTACCAAGGAAATAAATTAAGTTTTGAATATATATGCATTTAATCAACTTTTTGGTTTGGAAGCTCAACTAAAGAGTACTTGACAATTGATTTCACCATTAACTAACAAAAAGAATAAAATGAAAAAAATTAGCCAAAGTTTTTTGGGTGTGCACCTGACATAAAAGTGATATGATTTGTAAAAACTTAATATACCTCTATAAGAATCATTTTTTTTATTGTTCGTAATTATTTTAGTCCTATTCTGTAATTTATAAGTAGTTTCAACAATTTTGTTTTGACAAGAGATAGATCATTTAAAGTTTGACCAACATATTAAACAGCCATTCATTGAAGCAAAGCAACTTTGCTAAAAAATGAATCAGAACAAAAAAAAAAGATTAAATAAAAAAAGTAAAACTCAACAATAAAATATTGAGATGTATTGTAATGGTTGAGGATCAACATATCAATATAATGGTTCATTTTGGTTTATCTCTGATTGTCCCTAAAGTTAAAACTAATAAAACACAAATGATACATTTAATGTCACTTTTTTTATGTTAATTAGTTAATTTAGGCCCTGGTGCTTAAATTTAAAAAAAAAAATTCAAAATGTTATTAAAAAGAATATCTTCTTTTTAACTCCATGTAAAATTATTTTAAAAATTGCATTACTGTCACATGATCTAATCAAATGTTTTAAAAATTAGTTATAATATTGTTAGGTTTTTAGTTTCTTCTGTAAACTTTGGAAAACTTGACTTATGCAATGTTTAAGCAAAACAATCCTTGAAAGTAATGATAATTGCAGAAATAATTTAATAAATAAAAATGTTTTTTTGGTAAAAAGTTTGGGAGTTTAAAGCATATACAAATATATTCAATCCAACATTAAAATTTTTTAATCCTTTGTCTAATGATGGCGTTGTCATTCAGGGCTTTAGCGTTTCATAGGCATTATTGTAACATGAAGAAAGAATTCAAGCCTTATGTTTGTTTAAAGTTTACAACCAAGAATCAATAAAATGTTAACAAAAATGCAGGCAAAAAAAAAAAAAAAAAAAAAAAAAAATTCAGGGCTTTAGCGTTTCATAGGCATTATTGTAACATGAAGAAAGAATTCAAGCCTTATGTTTGTTTAAAGTTTAAAAAAAAAAATCAAAAAAATGTTAAAAAAAATGCAGGCAAAAAAAAAAAAAAATAACTGAGACATTAAGTCATTCACTGGCGCTGGTACATTTAGCATATAGGGAAACAGTCGTGAGTTGATGCAGTCAAAAATGATTAAGCAGTAGCTGTCCTATTTATTTCAAATGTTTACTTTTTTTCTTGATGATGAAAATCAGAATAAGGATTCCTAAAGCTTTCTTTGAATAATAAAAAACCTAAACCCTGTAAATTTTAGGATAATGACTTCTGTAACTTTTTTTCATAATCTGTACAATAAAAAAAAAAAAATTCCATGTTGTCCTGAAATAGTTTGTTCTTAGTTCATGCCTCAGGCATGAATGGTCTATACATTTTCAATCTTTTACTTTCAACTTGTGCCCACCCTTTTTCTTTACTTAATAGGTACCAGGTAGGATAAAACGTAAAATTTAAGTAACATTCATATTATTTGTTATTCTGTTGTACAGATGAAGGCCTTAGCCAGAATATCTAAATTTGTATTTTGTCTTCAAAATAATTAAAGCTCCCTTATACTGTTTAATTTACCGGGTACACACATTGTGTCTCATTAATCGTTCAAATATTACCATTATAATAAGAAGATATAGAAAGAATCAACAATTCAGTGCGCTTGAACGAGTTATAACTAAATAGTAACTTAATATAAATTTAATAAGAATTTCAAACAGTGTTGCTAATTTTTATAGAGAAAAGGAAATCATAAATTAGTCCACATTATAAATTAAGAAATGAATCAACAATTTTCAGGCAAAGTCATGACAAAAGAAACAATTGTTTTCTATAAAACTAAATGTCAGCATTTCATCACATGTAAATAAGTATTTATGACATTGTCAATGTCATTTTCATTTAAGATTAAATAAATGGTGATGCTATTATTTTAGTATAGTATTAAGCTTAAAATGTTTAAGCATTTCGTTTTCACTTTCAAATTAAACAAAATACATAGGTTTTATACAAAAATGCTACACACTAATCAGTAAACCTGAAATAATTACTTTTGAATAGACATTAAATGCCTACGGAATATCAGATCTAATTTTCCACACATTCATTGTAACATTTTACATTCACTGTCATGTGTGTTAAAACAGTATATTAAACATTTTACAATAAAAGTTTATTTTTGTGTGTTAAAACTCAATAATTCATTAGGCAGAAAGCAGCTCCATTTGCTTAGGATTGAAAAGTTGATAAAAATTGCAAGGAAACTGTACCATTCATAATTTATTTACATACCATACCATATAGAGTACATAATAGCACTATCCAGGCTTAAAAGTATACAGCGTGACAGCATTCAAAGAGGTGTTTATAGTGCATTTAAAAATTGGTTAGTACTTGACTAGGAGGATGCTAATTTATTTATAGTGACAATTTATAATCATTATGAGTGTATCATTTTTCAGTCAAATTAGATATCCTAAGTTAATAAAAAAGCATTTAAAGGTGGCCAACCATTTAGTTGGTATTTTATGCATTGTGTGAATCATACCTTAATTTTTAATAACAAATATTCCGTTATTTGCATGTTCACAGCCTGTTCAAACAAAATAGATCAGGAGATAAATACCAAAGATATGTTCAAAGAAGCAATATACATTGAACTTACTATTATTATATTACTGATAACTAATCTAAGATTACAAATTCTGCTCACATTCCTATAGTGCTTTTTAAATTCTTTTACATTATAAAGTACTTCCAACAAATAATTATTACCAATTTATTCTTAGCCTCAAGTCTCAAGAGCTATTGTGTTTAAAAAAGGAAATTAATATTTAAAGATAGTTTCAGAAAAGCTTTTTGGATATGTAACCGTTTTCCAAGGCAAATCTTTATAACTGGTATAAACTTAAAAATATGATATTAAAAAAAACATTATGTTGGAAATAAAAAATTAACTCTTTGAAAGATTATGGGTAAACATGACAATAGTTTCATTTTAATCTATTAAAAATAGAAACACATTTATGCTACATAATACTTTTTGAGAATATAATTAGGGCCCATTGTTTGAAATAATGGAGAAAAATAGAAATGGTGCATAGTTTAAGCTGATTTTATGGGTGTATTACTTTGTTTCAAATAATGAATGCTAGAAATGACATAATGCAACTAGTAAAATGGAAGGGGGTGAGGATCAATTAGGAGGTAATAAGGAACAACATGAACACAGAAATGAGTTAGTTAAACTTTAACATTCTACATTATCTAAACAAAGTCTGTTCATGGCTACAGTGAAATTTTTGAATTGTAAAAAATGTTGATCTTTTTTTATTATTTTATAAAGTCGCATTCATTATTTTCACTTACGGTGTTGGGTTAAAAATTTAGGAGCCAGCTTATGGACTTTTCAAAATATACTAATCCCGGACAGGTTATTGAGAATGATACAAGTGCAATAATTTATTTAACTAGAATCGCTTTTCAATTTTTACCTTTAAAATTAATCATAAGGCATGTTTAACACAAAAATATCAGAAAAGCAGCCAAACATGGAAATATGTTCACACACTCCACTTATGTATGCACTCTATTTTAAAATTATTCCATAAAATTGAACAACAGGGCTGTTGGAAAGCGAGACAAAAACAGCATTTAAAAAAAAAAGCCTTGCTTTTTTGGATTCTTGGTGAAAAGGCACGCAAAAAATCTATAATGTTACTGACATGGCGGTTGCTCTATTTGTGCTAAGTAGAGAGGATGTCTCGGACAAGGCTCGTCTGAAGCCATCTCTTTTCCATCCATAAACTATACTGTTTAAAAGTCCTTGCAGTGGTCCTAAGATAGCCTGGTATTGACGAGTAATGAGTAGATGAAACATTATAAACTTATAATTAACTTATCAATTAACTTATAAAAATACTACAAGAAGCAGTAAAAGGAAATGAGTAAAACAAAATGTGAAAACCTTAAAAATGAACCCAACAAAACAACGTACGTGTTGGCAGGAAGCCTTCGTCAGCAAACAAACAACAGGAAAAAAACAGAATTTAATTAAAAAATAGCACTTAGCTGAAAAATAATATTTGAGAGGGCAGCACTAGAATTGTGACAAGAAGCAATGTTTGGCAACAGTTTTTATATCATGATTTTTGATGACCATGGAATACAGGGGTGACACAAGAATTGTTTTCAATACTTAAAAACTGAACTAATAAGATGAATTATTTTAAAAAAAATTTTTTTTTTTAAATTTTGCATCTGTTCAGATCATAAACTAAACAAAAACTCGAAAATCTGAGTGAAAATTTTTAGAATTACCTGTATTATAAGCAGCCAGAAAAAGGTCTTCATTGTATATGAATCAATGAATGAAACAATCCCAAGAATAACAGCTGAAACAAGATATTTGCAACAATTTTTAATAATCATAAGATTTACATTTCAATTCTTCTAAATGATAAATTCAAACAAATATATTGTAAGCTTCCACACAGGTTAGATTTCAGACCATAGACTATGGGATAAAGAAGATTCTTTCAGACAATTTACAAGAAATGTTCCTTAAGTATCACACTCCTGCTTGACATGCTTAAGTTATGGCTATTCTATCACATGTTCTACATGGGAAACTTCATAGCACAAAGTCAAACAATTTTGGCAACTGAAATTTTTTAAGCTTTAATAAGTCCTTCAAATGTTTTAGTGCTGTTTTTTTTATTGGCAAAGAATTTGAACACATACAACTGCTTAGTCCTCTGTATTATATCATATGAAACATTTGTCCTAATCTTAATAATTTTTTTTAGTAAAAGTTATCTCAATTCTTTACTTTTAAAGAATATTAAACATTACCAAGAATATTAGCTAAGGGAGAATAAATTTTGTCATTCGGACTAGCTTTTTCATGTACTGGTGCAAAGTTACTTGACTTACAAGGTAGCCAACATACAAAGAAGACACCCTGGTACAACATTGCTTTTTTCTTAAGAAGAGTTTCTTCCTGTCTTTGATGGTAGCTAAGCAATCCTGCAAATAAATAATTTGTCAATTTTTTTTCCATATATCACAATTTTTACAACAGTAATAATTTTTTCATTTAATTATTTTTAATTGTATTTTTAAAAATTCGTAACTGAAATGAAATGGTTATGTCACATAAGAATGTAAATTAATTTTAATTGTTATTAACAGAAAACTTAGAGCAAAAACCTACCTCTTCTCATTGCCACTAGTTTAAAAACTTTGGTAATTAAGATATAAAACATCTGAAACATAAGGAATTGATACATAGATAATTCAGATGGGTATGTAGACAACTGGTACTAAACAAAGACAAATGTGAAATTGTGTTACCAATACAATCTTGCTCCAAGGGTGATTTTCCAGAACAAAAGTAAAATAATAGCTTTGTTCCAATATGACAGATCACAAGTGGGATAACACTTAAAATATTCACATAAATTGTTTTCTTAAGGGGATAAAATCAAACAATACATTTTCTTAAGGAGATAACATTATACAATGATAGTTTTCTTAAGGAGATTACATTATACCAATTTATTGTTTTTATAAGGAGATGACATTATACCAATGATTATTTTTTAAAGGAGATAACATTATGCCAATGATTGTTTTCCACAGAGACATTTTGTAAATCAGTGGCAAAATGTTTTGGGTCCACAAGAACAAGTTAATTTGTATGAGATGGCAGCAAAGTAAATATTCCAACTCTTTTGTTAAAATATAATAGATACAGATATAGCCTGGATCATTTATATTCAGGTAAATTTGATTGCTAAGTACAATTATTTTGCTAGGAATATCCAAATTTAGCACAAGTTAAAAGCAATGAGTTTCATTAGGAATTTTCAACATTTTGAGAGCTATATAACTTGAATAGGGAATAAAAAATCACTCACCATATTTAAGATGACTACCAAAAGTAATGGAACAACAAAAATCAACTTAATGAATTTATGCCAGGTTTCACCATCTTCCACTTGATTCTGTGAAATAAGTATTATAAGAAAAGGCTTTTTTTTAAATTGTCCCAAATCACTCCAAAAATGACTTTAAAAAAAGCCATAAAGCTGCATGGAAATGACAAATATTGGGAAATATTAAGAAACGCTGACAACGGATTTTGCAGGCTCCCTGTAGTTTGCAAATCCCAATTTAACAGTATTTTTTCCTTGACAATCGACACAAAATTTTAAATAATACCTTTTTAAACTTAAATAATTTATCAGATGAAAGTATTAGACGACATAGTTAAGCATGTAACTTACCCAGCAATACTCTTCACTGAACCGGAAATTTGCAAAGCATCTGCAAAATATAATCTTATAATTAACAGGAGATGAAATTTGACAAAAGAAATCCTCTAAATAGTGCATTTGTGTAATATAAAAAACGATATTAACATATTCAATCAATTTCAGACTATTGACTTCACTAAATGATATAAGCGCAATGTTAAAACTTCCTTACGATGAACACTGTGCAGAAAGTATATGGACAGGTATGTCAAAGTCATCTGTATCTCGAAGGTTGTGTGTTACTATCATAACACCAATTGCTGAGCACACAGGTACTACCCTGAGAAAAATTAAAAGGTAATAGATTCATTAAGAAAGACTTAATGATATTTTGCATGATTTCATATATAACAAAATGTAAGATTAAAGCTGAAAGTGCTAAAATTGTTATTAAATACTGCACCATAATTTAATCTGAATTAAAACAATTTTAAAAGTTGTAACTCTAAAACTAACCAAAGCTAATTGGATCTTCAAAGGTTGAATATCATGTGCACAATTTTTATTTAGACTTAACCTCTATTAGTGAGGATTTAGTACTAATCATGTTTCTTTTTCAAAATCTTTTGAATACACAAATAAAATATATCTATCAATGTTTAATTTATGCTCTTTTACAAGCCTTTATAGATGTATTGTCTCTTAAGACTACTTGACTGTATTTCTGTTGAAAACCAAAAACAAGAAAAATAAAAACCACCTTACCAAGCAAGAATGTAGGCTAAATACATCCACTTGTTGCTAACAGCTTTCACCTAGATGTAAAAAAAACACCATATGACAAGGATTACATAACAAAAAATTGTAAGTTTAAAATATTAATAAATGAGCTTGAGTATATCACCTACAAAAATGGTTAACATCCCATTGTTCGTGAATAAAATAGAAGGCAAAGATAGGACTAAGCAAAGACATAATAGCAACACCTTATTGTGATGAAATTTTTACTTGTTAATACTGGCAAAGCTCCTCATAAAGCAATTCTGATGCATTACATAATAATGATTCAAAACTCTCGACAACATCTTACTGCTAGTAGATCCAAGTTTGTTCCATCCTTAAGCCTTTGACGAAATCTAAACAAGGCTTCCATTGCATAAGTTATGGTCAGTAAAAAAGCAGCAGTGTAGGCACTCTATAATGTAAAAGTGAAACAAGTTAAGTTAAGTATAGAGTTAATTTAAAAAGCACTGCTTTCTTACAATTTACAATTATAAAAAAGTATAAAAACTAACAGAATAGTTATGCACAACTGTTCTTTAGCAACCTAATCCAGACCTGTTTACTCTTACGATTTTGGCGTACAATGTACGATTTTGAGGCCTAAATATTATATATACTGTGTTTTTTTTTTACTATTCAGATAAGGTATTGAACGATTTTGTGAGGATAGTGTACGATTTTAAGAGTTGGAAGGTAAACAGGTCTGCTAATCTATGTAAAAATGGCATCATTAAAAAACACAAATTTCTCTATATATTATCAAACGTGTGAGTTATTCAGTAAATTTTTTGAGCTTTTGACTGCTTGTATTAACATTTAGTAGTAGCCAAGGATCAACAGCCAAAATTTTATTTGCCATAAGCTACTTCATGATTCCATTTAAAAATTAGTTATTTAAAATAGAGATATATTATTATTTTCTCAAGTCTATTTGAATTTAGAGTATTTTTTTTTTTACTACAAATAAATAACTTAATGTTTTAATTAAAGTGAGTTTCCTCTTAAAAAAAGATATTAAATTCAGAATTACCTGAGTACTTATGAAAGTTAGTTAACTTTAACTATTTTTTCCATTTAAAATATTTGTAGAGTTGAGTGGAAGAGAATTATATTCCTTACTGTTACTAGGGTCATCAAATAGCCACAAGGCCCTGAGCTTCCTGGAAAGTTTATCATGCCTGACCCCAAATTATTGAGAAAGATTGCAGATGAAGTAACAAGAAACAATGAGGCCAGCATATCTGCAAGTGCTAGATGAAAAGTTGGAAATATCTGAGGATGCAAATGGAAACACTATTTTTATTTTACAATAATTAAGTTAATCCACAAGATTCAAAGATAGATTCAAGCTTGATTCAAAGTTGAACAAACCAATAAACTCTAAATAACTTGGCATTAAAAATAAAAAAAAACATCTTCAAACAATGAATGTTCAAACATTAATAATTTTAACTGAAAATGTGAAGTCAAGACATTTATGTAATAAATTCACAGTTATTTTATGGTCTTAACTAATGTTCAGGTCACAATTTAATTAAAAGGTAGGCCTATATAAAAAGTGAAAAAATTAAAACAATGTGAGACCTCAGGGTAGCAAACTCTCCCATGATAAATGGCACAGGTAAACACAGAGCCAGAGCCAATGAAGCTGTTAAAGATACATTTTTTAATAGATTAATATTTGCTGCAATACCTTTTTAAATAATAATAAAAAAATATTCTAGAAAGAATTTATTGCAAATAGCTGAAAGCAAATAAAAATTATTATTTTCATAAAGTAAAAAAATAATTAGGGGACATAATGTGCCTTCCCTTTCCTTAAATTATAATATATTTATATTTTTTAGTAAATTAATTATACAATTTCCATTTTCTATTCAAATCTTAATTGCCAGCCTGCCTTCATAAAAAATATAGGATACAATTTCTATTATTTTACCTTAAACAAGATGTCATCAGGCTAAGAATAGCAACTGCTTTCATCTGAAAAATAAAATTCACTTATAATGAAATGAATTATTTGTTTTTGAGTATTATAAAACCTATTTTAGTTTAGGAAAAGTTTGTTTATTTCTTTAGCCTAGCCTACAAAAAAAATATGTCTTTATGTCCCTTTAATTGTATATGATTAGGGAATAGAACCATTAGTTTTAAATTTAAATTGATCTGAATTATATATAATTAATGTATACCATATTTAGGTCCAGAGAAATAGCTACAGTTTGACACCCTGGGTGGTCCTTAATTTCCCTCTCACTAACTAAAAAAAACACAAACCCAACAGAATTTGAAATTTCAAATACTTTCAAACTAAAGCCAAAGGAGCCATCCATAAATTTCGTCACACATTTTTGACTGATTTGATCAATTGTCACAAATTTGTAACAAATTACTAATTCTAAAACACACTGTCACAAATTATTATCTCCCCCCCCCCCCAACGCGTGACATCATTGATGGATGTCCCCATCCTCTGTATCATCGCTAGGGTTAGTCCCAACTTGGGCAGCCCAAGATTTTTGCTACTTGTCACAAATTTGTAACAAATTACTAATTCTAAAACACACTGTCACAAATTATTATCTCCCCCCCCCCCCAACGCGTGACATCATTGATGGATGTCCCCATACTCTGTATCATCGCTAGGGTTAGTGCCAACTAGGGCAGGCCAAGATTTTTGCTACCTTCACCCATAAATAAACTCTGCATTTGACCAAAAATCCTGCCTATCCTAATAAAGACAAAAGGGCTTCGGGGGTTTGGACCATCCCCTCCTCACCCCCTTCCTACATCAGTTTCAATAGTATGTGTAGTGGACTTTAAATGCAGCCCCACAAAATAAAAGTGCAGCAAGGGCCTGACAGCTAACTCCTCATACAACAGTGCCTAGGTCTAATACTAATATTTTTCCTCAATATAGCAATTTCAGTGACTGTGGGATAATTTAAAATCAATCTATCAAAAGAAACTCATCATCCATTTTTTTGAACTGAGTCTGGGAGTGGTGCCTAACAATGTTTCAGAAGGTTAATTCAAAAATTGTGTTGCACAATTATGATTTTAAAGATAAAATCCCTCTTAATAGTTGGCTTGTAGAAGAAACAATACTTAACAAAAGACTGATCTAACAGTATGTAAAGAAAAATTTTACCAAAGCTAGTGACACTAAAATTTAATTTAATTATTTGAATACATTTCTCTACAAATACAAATTAAATTACAGAAGCAAAAAAGTGTATCATGTTACAGCAAGTGGGAAAAAAAGTACAATCCCCAATACAGAAATATTAATTTATACACACAATAATATAAACATCACTTATTTCTCTCTAAATCTATCTCTCGGTAGGTCAAAGCCTCAGAAGTCTATATGCTAAGAAATATGGCGAGCTTTATATAGGAATTAAATCTGAACATTCTAGTACCGAAAATCTAAAAATTGTGTAACCTAGTGGCATTCTTGAGGACAAATGGAATGCATATGCATTTAAACAAACTATTTCCCAAGTCAGGACATAGATGGGCAGGGAAAGTGAAGTCAATGTCAAGTTCGAGACAGGTCTAAGCAGTGGTGGCCAAAAATAACCCTGTGTAGTTTAAAAAAAAGCCATGCCTTACGCTGTACTAGGAAATATTAATTAAAAATTTCTTATTATATCTTATATATATATTCCTTCTGGTTTTTCTTGCATCCTTTTCAAAACCACCCCCCACCCAACTCGATATGTTATATATTTATAGTACTGAGTGAAAAAAAAAGGCTGTCAAGCGTGACATGTTAGCTTGACAGCTAAGTAAAACAATATTCTTTAGGGGGAGGCGACTATTATATTGATCAATTAACACCCACTGGCGGCAATAGTATGATGTAGAACTGTCTGTATGCCTATATTTTAAAGGCCGACATGTTGGGTGTAGGACTGGCAGTAGGCCTATTGTGCAAAGGCCAGAAGAGGGTAGGCCTATTTCTCAAAGTACCCAGTGTTAAAACTACACCAGGTTAAGCCCTAGCAGAGAAATCATCAAAACTTTCTGTGACTACTCAAGAGTTTCTATTAATTAAATGTAACTTTAAAATATATTATAATATATAATATCAAAGACTAGAAAAGTTTTCATTCTCATATAGATAGTATTAGTAAAGTGTAATTATAATAGTTTTAATAGTATTATTTATTATGGCCTTAGTTTATATCACTAGTCACTAGTCAGTAATATTATTGAGGGCTGGCTTCAGTTGCCTTCGTCTTCAGTGAAGGCGAAGGCCAAAGACAGAGCCAAAGCATACATAAGCTCTAATCAAACACTAACCAAACTACACACAGTGTGACAAAGTAGATCTAAGTCTAGGCTAGGTGAATTCTAATTTGTAAACTACTTTTGTCTCTACAATAAATTATCTTTATTATATTATAATAATCAATATTTATTAAAAAAAACTACCTGATTTGTATTAAGCAGTTCAGGCATACTACTGACACTGGAATTCCCAGACAAGAGTATACCTTTATCCATCTTTGAAATACAAAGATTAAAAGGAAATCAGTTAACCCAAGAGTGTCATTTTAAAGTTCCTAATTAAATGTAACCACTTGACACAATTTTGCTATACAGCATTATTATAGTCCAAGTTAATAGTTGCCATCTTCCTGGGTTAGGTAACTCATTTCGTATTTCGTTTTTATGTATTAACTTTTACATTAATGTCACGTGAAAATGTTTACAAATAATGAGGCAATTAAAAAAAAAATGTGTATTAATAATTTGAAAATTGTCATCGTATTCTTTGTAAGACCTGAGAACAATTTTATGATTTAGTCAAATATAAATATTATCTTCCTACAAATTAAATCGTTATCTATGTTTATTATATATTTATATAGGTCCCAATCTATATATAAATATGCTAATGTATTTCAAATTTTATTATCTCCCCTGTTGCTATTATCAACAAGTAATCATTATACACACACGAAAGGAGCACAAATTGAGCACCTGTAAATATGGCAACAACACAACAGGTATATATATTTAAAAATTACTGTCATTGTATAGAAATTGAAATTATTTAAATATTTTTAACAATAGATAAGCTTATTAAACGCCCTCGGTCTCAGACTCGTGCTTTCATAAATAAAGTATAAAGGCAAAGTGCAGCGTCGATCCTTGATCTCATTAGTATTAGGCTCATTAGCCATTGCCATTAGTACATTAGCTTCTCACAGTCACGTTGGTGTCTTTGGCCTCTGCTACGTAATGTTTATCTTTTCCTATAATGGGTCGAATACGAATATATAATTGTATATATATATTAATATTAGATCAGCATATCGATTTTCTATATAATATAAATGTTTTTTAAGTAAGGGAATAAATCTAAATAAAGTAAAATTAATTAATTTGAAATTATTAACAGTTTTTAAAAACTTGACATCCATTGAAATAACTTTATTTTATTTGTATTCTTTTTATTTAAAGCTGGGACCTGGTGGTGTACCTCTGGATGCTAAAACATCAGACTACTACAGAACAAAAGATCTGCCTCACAGATTTGAACATCCAAGTAGGTGCAGTTTATGGAATAAACTTATCGTTATTTTTGTTGATAATGATATATCTAAGCGAGAGGCTGTTGAAAAGAATGGAACATGGTTAACAATAAAATACGGGGGCAGACTGGGCTGCTGTTACTGTGGGAAATATGCCTGTGGGCTGGTGGTAATGCAACTGCAATAAAAATTCTGTATTACATATCTAATTGTATAAGACTGGACACTCCGTTCCATCACGTTCAGAATATAATATATATATGGAAGGTTATCAAGCATCGTGTTTTTTTTCTTCAAAAGTAGTTCTAATTCTAGGACATGAGAAAAGAACAAACTAAAACGTTCAATTTATCAACATGCAGTGTTATTATTTTTTTAAATATCGTGCAGTTTCTTGCGATTATAACCAAAGGTCCATTCATTGTCTTGTCTGGGAGGCAACATTACAAAGACTTCTGAAATGAACATTTTTGGCTGAATGTGGTCTAATGTAAATTTTTATACAAAGCCTGAAGAAATATTTTGTTTAAATTTAATTGGAATTTTGGGACGCAAATGGTCAGTATATTTTTACTCGCAGAAGAAAATAACCAAAAGCATGGCATCTGTTGCCTTAACACAGTTCGAAAGGAGGCACACAGGTGTGTCAGAACATTTTCATATAGAGGGATTTGAATTGCTGTAAAAAATTGAGTAGAATTGTAACTATATCAGAATCTATGACCAGATGATTCCAAAAATGGCAACAGTTTTCTCCTTACATATCTTGCTTTTGAGATATTGAAGAGATGCCCTTTTTTCAAGCAGTAAGCATAATATTAATTAATCATTGATCTAAAAACAATTTTTCAAGAGTTTGTGTGCTGCTCTTACATTCAACAAACATATCTCTTATCCAATTACCTGGACAGAAAAATTGCTATTTTTTATGGTACTATTTACTTTTACACCTTGAAAATATGGTTTAAAAAATTATTCTTTTATTGTTCTTCTTGGAGTTGGAAATGTGTACTGATTACAGAAAATTGTCCTGCATATGCTAAATTCCCAGTGTGTACTGTGATAAATAATAAGTATATAATCGTTAACCTTTATTCTGCAGATGTTTTTAAAGGGTATGGCCATAAGCCCCAGCATCCAATGTACACAACAGAAGCATCCAAATATGGTTCCAAAATACCTTCAGTGCACACGATGCCAATTTGTTTTCATGCTAAGTCACAGAAATTCTCAGATGTGAGTGCTAAACATTGACATGTTTTTACAAGTTACTGATCTACCCATTTTTGTTCCCTGGAATTATAATAAGGATTATCCTAATTTTTTTTCCATTGGCAGCAATGATGGGTGCATATTTCAGTTTGAGAAAAAACTTTTTCAAAAATAAATTTTTGAATTAATATTTGCTCTTTATTATATTTGACTATGTAAAAATGTTTTGATTTACCGGTACCTATAATTAAAATAACAAAATGAGGAAATTATGATTTTTTTTTCCAGCACCTTGGAAAGTGTGGAATGCCTCGCAATTTCTCTCTGAACACAGGAACAGACAAAAGTATTATTTGATTTGATATAAAATGAGTGGCAGAACTGGATTTTAGTTTTATGATTCTTAGCCCAATGCTAACATTCTTATAACATAGAGAACATTCTGGAAATTATTGTATTTATTGTAATTTGCAAAGTCTCATACTCTTTTAACAACTGTTTTATTTCACCAAGCACTTTCATTAAAAGAAATTTAAAAAAAAAAATGAATTTTTAAAGAATTTTTTGTTTTCAAATGTTTGTCTCTGGAAAAATATGACAAAATTTAGTTAAATAATAATACAACTATAACAGCTATGCTAAATATTCTTGAATAGTTTGAAATGATAAAAACATTAACAGAGTCAAATGTTTTGACAACTTCAGATGAATTTAAACATTTTTTTTATCAGTAAGAATATCTTTAACAGAGATAATTTTGTCTGTTGCATCACTATACATTTTGCAAAAAATGCATTTCATGTTATGAATTAAAATGATAAATTTACCTAGAACTAAAATAATGGATTTGTGAGCATTAAAGAATTTAAATAAGACATTTTTTTTTCTTTTCTTTTTTTGAGCAATGAAAATCCACAATAAAATTGTTTTCATTTATTAAAAAATAGGACAAAACAATTGGCTTTGCATTATTTTATTAACCCTCATATGGTCCACAGATAATTAAAAAAAACAAACAAAAAAAAGCAACATATTATTATTATACATCCCTCACAAAAAATTTAAATATTTGAAACCAATCTTTATTTTTAAGATTATAAATAGAAAAGTCTTGTTAATTAAATGAAAACTAAGATAAAAAAATTAACTAGCTAAATTTTGTTTTATGTACACAAAAAATTATTCATTATCACATTAGTAAATGAACCACTTGTTCCGGGGTCCTGGGTACAATATTTATACCATCTTTGTATCCATTCACTGGGTCTAAGATTGATGCATATATTTGTTTGTAGGCTTGACAAACCAACTCCACTGATCTCTTTTTGGCAGATTCTCTAGAGAAAAGAAGTTAAATGTCAAATAACTAAACTAATCCTTGTGGTAAAACTATTACTCTTATGAGAGAATAAAATAATGTTGTATGCTGATTTTCTTGGTCTCCACATCATACTATATTTGAATATTTGGGTTTCTCCACAGTGCCACATGTAATGATACAAATTTACAAAGAAATTTACTATTTCATTTCTTATTTCATTTCCATCACTATGGCCATGGTATACGCTAAAAATCTAAATGGCTGTGCAATCTTAAAAACCCGGTACTGTAAAATTTTAAACAATGATTAGAAAATAGAAAAGAATGCTAGCAACGTTTATTTAAATAAAATTAATTAAAAATTCTTTCCATTGTTTTTACACCCAGAGAAAGCCACCCAGGGTCTACAACTACTACAACATTTCCCCACAGATTTAAAGAACAAAGTCAATATGTAATCTTAAAAATATTTAAATATTTTCAGAGCAAAAGAATTTTAATTCAATAGATTAAGATATTATCAACCACCAACCTAACACTAGAGCTGAGAATGAGACTACACTGGGGTAAGAGCAAACTGTCTGGCTGAGCCAAGAAGCTGTCAAATTTATTCTGTAATAGAAATTCAATGAAAACTGAATATATTTTTAAAAAAAACTACAACATTAAGATTTTTAAAAAAATCACCAGATTTACTGTTAAGCATAAAATCATAATAAGTTCATATTTACCACCAGAGGCTTATTAAATATTGTGCTGTTAGTTAGGAGAGGAAACTAAACTTACCATTGCAGCTCTGATTGCCAGTTCATCCAAGCCAGATAATGAAGAAAGTGGGCCCTAGATGGTTATTGTAAAAATTTATAGAATTTCAAGCAGTTTGCTGATGTTGAAAAATAAATAAATTAATTTGAAGTCTTTATTAATTGATTCAACAAAATCCCTTAAAGTAAAATATATAATTTTTCTTAGTTATGGTAAATTAATTCAAATTATAGAGATCCTTATAATTTTTAATATCTGGTATGTATAAGTTGAAACTAGAAATACAATCTTACAAAATAATAGTCAATATCTAGGTTTTGAACTGGTTGAAACTTGCAATGTCATTTTATGTAGTTATTAGGATGGTAACAGATTGACCTCAAACTAACCTGATCAGGTCTATGCTGTTGGATGAATCCATACATTTGAGCTAGGCCTACACGATTTAAAACATAGGAAGCCTGCTCACTAACTAAGGTATCTAAGTGAGCATCAGTCTGGAAATATAATAAGATTTAAAAGTATTAAAACCTTTGCCTAGTGTTACACAGATCCAGTGTTACACATAACCAGTGTTACACAGAACTAGTGTTACACAGACCCAGTGTTACACAGATTCAGTGTTTCACAGACCTATGTTATACAGATCCAGTGTTACACAGATCTATGTTAGACAGACCCCAGTGTTACACAGACTCAGTGTTATACAGACCCAGTGTTACAAAGATCTATGTTTGACAGACCCAGTGTTACACAGACCCAGTTTTACACAGACCCAATGTTACACAGACCGTGTTACACAGACCTAATGTTACACGGATCAAGTGTTAAACAGACCCAGTGTTACATAGACCTTGAGTTACATAGACCTATTGTTACACAGACCTATGTCCAGATTGTGTTAGGTTGTTGGGGATCCCCAATAGTGTAAAGACAATAATAATTCACCTGTGCATACAACATTTCCAGCCTGGTATCGGTAAACTCATACAATGACAGGGTGGTGTTCATTAGATGAATGCAGTTGACCATATAAGCTGCCATGTCCACTGTGGTCAGTCTGCTGGCTGACATGGAGCACATCTGGAGCAGAGGATCAATCACACAAGCAAGGATCTGTAGCAACAAAAGCAAAGCACTTTTTGAACAGCAAAAAACACAACACATTGTAAACAATATAAACACAACACATTGTAAACAACATAAACACAACACATTGTAAACAACATAAACACAACACATTGTAAACAACATAAACACAACACATTGTAAACAACATAAACACAACACTTTCTACTAGTGAATACGCTAACAATAATTGAAAATGAACTATATTTTCTGCTACTGTATAATTAAAAGCTTCTTTTATCATTGTAGTTATATAAGATTGACATTTTTCTTGAAGCATTCTCACCTGTTTATAATCTTGTTTCTTATCATCAATAGGCACAACTGATGCATCATGACAAGCAAGAACATCCCTCAATAACTGCAATGTTTGTGTCAATGATGATGTAGGTCCCAGGTCAGGAGGTGGAAGCTCAACCTTGATAGAATAACAACCTTGCACCAATTACAAAGTTTCAGCATTTTTAGCTATTATTTTGTCTCCCCGTTTTCTTTTCATAGGAACATCAGCAAAACCTTGAATTGTGGATAATTTATTTACTTAAACAAAAAACAATAAATAAATATTCAATCTGGCATAATCAATATTAGACAAAATAATAATATCTAAACTTGGTTGCTACCTTACAAATGGACATTTAAAGTAACCAAAATGGACCTTTAGTGTTTGCACAAAGCAAGTTTGCAAATACAGAAACAACATTAAGTACTGAGTTTTTTTCAACTCTAAGCTGGTGCATGTGACACAAAGATTAAATTCATCCTTGAATTGATTCTCAGGAGTAGTAGATGTCTACTACTTACCTTGTCAAGCAACTTATTAGCATGGCTTGTAAGGCTGTTGAAAAACATGCGATGACTGAGGTCCTGAATTTCAGACACAACTGTCAACAAGGCAGCTTCACTGCTTATAATTTGGCTTTAGAAACAAAATAGTGCAGACTGAAATTAGGTTAGGCCTAATCAGAAGTAAAAAAAATGAATTCTAATATACTTTTATAATTCTCTATTATTTTACATCTCTGCAATTTTAAAAGCTTTTTTAGCAGACTTAACCGTTAAGAAGTAACAAACAATTTTCCGGTAATTTTTGCACAGAAAACAGCACAATTCAACAAATCCCAATTAATGTTAAAAAATAAGTACTCTGAAGATAAAATGTTGGGAGTGTAACTTGCTTTTGCATCATCAGGGATGAATCTGATCCACCATTTTATCATAAGACTGTATCTTAGTCATTCATTTCTTCTAAATAAGTTGAACTAGAAATACTGTCCTAAAAATGCACCTAATGCACATTTTCTATCATATATTATTTTAAAGATGCTTTAAAAAAAAAGAAGAACATTAGCTGACCCAATTGTGTGATGGTAAAACTTAAGGAGGTTGTCCAGCTTGTACAAGGTTACTGGGTCCTGTTCGGATACCAACACCTGTTCAACCCTAACCTGTTGGCATCAACAAACAAAATGTCAAAACAACCCAGAAAACAGCAACCTACACTGAAATACACTTTAACGTATATCATGGCCGATGAATGGTATGCCAATGTCAAGTTAGTTGTAAAAATGTGCAGACTGCATCATGAGCAGAGAACATCCAATCTAACATTTAAATTAAACTTGGCTGATTACATATTTAAAATCTCAAATGGAATTGGGTAAAAAAAAACAACAAACCCACCAACCTTGAATGGTGTACAGACTCCTTCTGTGATATTTCCTAAGACTTCATCCATCTGGACATTGCTAGCTGAAATAAATGATCAGTTGCTTTATAGTAAAAATATTTTTTTTTATCTTAAAGAAATTGAATGCCTTGATGTAGTTTATTTTCTTACATTTAATTTTTTTTAAAGCAATTAATAAAAAATAAACAACAAGAGAAATAGATGTAGCTTAAATTAACAGCCGGGGCACACATACCTGTGCAATTTTTGAGCAGGGACTGCAGATATTCTTTCTCTGAAGCTGAGGCCTGATGTAGCCATGCCAGCATGTCACCAACATATCTGAGTGGGTCGTGAGAATGAAGCTCTATAGGTCTTGGTGTGCCACCTGGTCCTGGAAAAAAAGTTCTAATTGAAAGCATTGTTTTAGGTTAGAGCTCAGAAAAAAGCTATTTTCTTTATAGAATAGGCGAAGAAGCTGAAACTGCAAACCAAAGTCAGAATCTTTAATACAAATGTCAAAGCAGTCCTACTATATGGTGCAGAAACTTGGAAAACAACAGTGAGCCTTATGCAGAAAGTGCAGACATTCATAAAGACATGCCTTAGAAAGATCCTGAAAATCAAATGGCCAAATACTATCACCAACAAAGATCTACTAGAAAGGGCATACCAGGTGCCCATTGATGAAGATATCATAAAGAAGAGGTGGAGATGGATAGGGCATACGCTCCGAAAACCCGCAGATAGCACCACCAGACAATGCCTAACATGGAACCCACAGGGAAAAAGAAAGAGGGGAAGGCCTAGGAATACATGGAGACACAAGCTAGAGGCAGACACGCAAAATATGGGATACACCTAAAAGCAATTGGAAAGGAAAGCATAGGGCCGTGATGAGTGGAAAATTCTTGTAGACTTCCTATGCCCCAGACGGGATAGAAAGGCATAAGAAGAATAAGCACTTCTTGATATACTTGATGAGTCCATTGTTGAAAAAAAAAACAGAAACACACCCAGACATTTTGAACTAAACTCTCAAATCCGCCATTGCCTGAAGTTACCAGTACACAGATAACTGGCAGGAGATTGTAAGATATGTTTGTAATATGTTTGTAACAGACCAAGTTGGCTGTGATTTTACACACGACACTAATGTTCATCCTTATGACAGGCTACAAGTATTGCAATATCGGCAGTAATAACATGTGTTATAATGTTATTAGAGAATTTTAGTTAGGGGAGACAGGTGTTGGCTTATTATATTATAACTTTTAAAACGGGTTCAGCATTAGTTAAAAACTTTTTAAAAAATGAGGAGAGATTCTGGAGGGAGTTGCAAGCAGTTATCAGTATACTGTAACAAATAAAATATTGTCTGCCTTGTTAATGTAACTTTAAAAAAACTGCTATTTACCACCACGTGTCAAGGCATCAATGAAACCACGAACAACAGCACTTCTCCTGGCCTTGCCAAATTCATCCAATGAGTATCTAAACATAGTTTGAAAAGTGGTTCAATTATTTTCAAAATTAACCCATTGAAGAGATTGAGAAGAAAACAAAATGGATAAAATGTGTCATAAATCAAACTGATTTTTAATAACTTATGCCAAAGAAATGATTAGAATATACAAAAATAACAATTATAAAAAGCTTCACATAATGCTACTATTCTCATAAACTCCCTGCTATTATATCAGCTCCAGTTCCATGGCACTATCATTATTTGAACCAATGTCTATTATACAATATAAAATGTATAACGGTACTCATGTATTAACATATTTAAGCCATGATATAACCTTTCTTAATTAAATGATGCCTGTGTCTTTCAACATACTATGCCGGGGTTTAGTGCTATTTATCTTAAAATCATGTTTATGACACAGTTGCATGCACATGCCTTATTTTAGAAAATAATACGATGTGGTACGTGGTACTTTCATTAGCCGGGCCCAACATTTTGGAATGCCCTTCCAGTCGCTCTCAGAAACAACCAGACACTGGAGTCCTTTAAAACCGATTTAAAAACACATCTATTTCGCAAACACCTTCTGGGGTGATGCTATCTACCATCTTTTTCAGTTAATGTATATTGGCTTGTGTTGCTTATGGTTGAAACGGGATGAAAGACTTTGACTGGGTATGCTCGTATGTAGCTTTATATTGTTGCGTCTGTTTTTAAATGTGGTAAATTTTAGATTGTTTTTACTTCTCTTTTTAATATGGTTGACTTTGTACCGCGCTTCGAGCTTTTGGGGATGAAGCGTGTTTTTCAAATAAATTTTATTATTATTATTATTATTATATGAAACAACAAATCAGTGTCTTACTTGAGTAAAACGGGTCTATCCTGCAAGGCCTCCATTGCCTGGCACAGCAAGAGACTAACATCAGGTGTGTCCTGTGTAACCTGGCGACACTGATCTGGGTAATGAGAATCAACACATCTTCAACATCAGGTCATGTTAACATTTTCACAATTTTTAAAAACTTTTAATAAAATTAGTAGTTTTTAAAATTTATCGTCATTTTTAGATTTTGAAAAGAAACTTTATAAAATAAAAATGTCAACTGACTTTGAGTCCACCTGTACAATCTCTCATAAGCAGATTCCTGATGGAGAGCCATGGACTCCATAATTTCCAATCTATAAAAAGTATGACAATAAATATTAATTAAATATATTTTAATAGACCAGAGGAGATATTTGCAAGAAATAGACACTGTACAAATAAATACTGAAATAAAAAATAAAATAAAGCTGAAATAATGCCATAACTAAGGATGTACTGGTAATATTGAATTAGTTCTGGGTTTTCATAAATGAATGAATTTAATAGATGTTATTAGCTTGATCAACTATATTAATGTTAATGTTATAAGAGTTACCCTGCAGTTTGGTGGTTGGTTCGTAGGAGAAATTTACAGTCACTGTGAATCTGTTTCACTCTGGATAAGGCTTTGAAAAATTCCTGTAAGGAAATAGGTCAATTTTTTAAAAGTTTTATATTTATTTATAAGTGTAATCTAATGCATCAAAAAATGAAATGCAATTCCATAATATTATCCAGTTTGCTGATGCCAAACTTACAGAATGTAAAGCTCCATCTCTAGTGCCTCTTAGAATTTTGATTTCATCAGATTTGAGTTGAAATTTTTCCAGGAATGCATTGGCAACTTGTTCTTTGACTTGCAGTTTCTGGCTGTGAATAGACAGGGAACTGATTGTCTGGTGCAATGCTATAGTGATTTCATGACTTTTGCAGCACAAAATCTGGGTAAGAAGATAACATAAATGTTTGGTCTGTGTTGTAATGTCCTCTCCTGTCCATGTTGTTTTAGACCAAATGACCACTGGTCATAACAATTTTGCTAGGGGAGACAGCTGTAAGAGTTACTCAAGTTTACTGTAAATCTTCATTCTTGATTTTCTCCCTTAGTTTTGCACATTTGCTAGGTGTGCTGACCTGAATCTTGTAATTTTTAAAAGCTAACCCCACCTTTAGTCCCATGAAAACAGTAAAACATTTTTCAAACCATAACATAAGATGGAACAAAAAATTTATTTGATAATAAGAATGTGTCCAAAAGGAATAGAAAATAACATGATCATTTAAAGAATTAAATTTAAATATTTTATTAAGGATCTTAAAAAAGCACAAACTGTTTGTGTCATAACTTTAAAACATAAAACAAAAATAAATGCTCTCTGAAAAATCTCAAATTTTGCTTTTGATGATTTCTTGGAACAACACCACAACACAAATTTCAATGTAAAAATATCAGACCTCTCATTGTGCAAAGAAGTTGTTTGTGAAATAAGATGATGTGTCTTAGCCTTTGCTGCCTGTCAGAAGAAATAAATTGTTAAACATTAATCCAATAATAGACTAATTAAATTACCTGATACAAATATTTATTTATTTGTATAATTATAATTTAAAGAAATATTATAATTCCATATAATTTCTATTGTATACAAAGCATTTACATAGCTATTTTAATATAATTTTAATAGGTCAACATGTGAGAAAGTAATAATTTCAGATAACATTTATAACATTGTAAGTATCAGTTGAAAGTTAAGCGGTTTATTTCAAATATTCTTGGTTATCTGCCATTTTGTTATTTACTATTAGCTACTTTACGATTTGGCTGTTGAACAATAAAGAACAGAGCAGTAATAACATATCACTGGATTCAAAATTGAATTATCTATTATTTGATAACAATTGTCAGATCAGTTAATTATGGTTTTGATGCCAGGAAAAAAGACTGAGCTTTTTTGTTTATTAAATTTCAACAAAAATGTTAACACACTGTCCACCCAAACCTCCACCCCATTTGGTCCGCCTACAGTTATTCCATAATATATTTGTGTGTAGCCTAGCAGTAGTGTCGAGCTACACCAGGCCTTTCTAATATCCACTTAGAACGGTTGCATGGAGCTCCACCAACAGACTAGGCCAGAAATGAGGCAGTCGAACATCTCCAACCTAACCGTTCATTGCTGCTGGCTAGATACTTTCCCTCCATAACTAATTTATCCATGAAATTACAGATTCACGTTAAAAATAACTTATTCTGGGGAGAAAACCATGTTATATTCCGTATTACACAGCCAATATAATGTACTTTAAGAACTGAAAGTGCACTACAAGTCACCACTGATTAGGAAATCCAATTATTATATTATACCTTAAGTCGATCTGTCATATCTAGACAACATTCATTCATAGCTTGGACGTCAGAATACACACTGTCCAGTTGCTTGAGGTGAAGATAAAAAATTTTTTTAAAGTTAAATCTTACTTGGCAGTATTTAAGAAAAATTAAGAGCTTCTGGTAATAATTATGAGTAAACTAAGTTAAATATTTTCTTTTCATTTAACTTTTTGTCTGAGCCCACTTTTTTAAAAATATATATTTTTTTACAAGGTTTGCTTTGTTTTGTTAATCAAACTGTTCTGAAGAGTTGGAAAAAACAACAAAATGTTAAACCAATGAATTTATGCTATTCAAACATGTTCAATTTCAAAATAAATACCTCTTTGACTGCCTGGAAGGCACCAAGAAATTCCTCATTGATAGCAAGGCTTCTTTTCTCAATATCACTACGCAAGTTTCTCCGACTTCGTAGATTATTTTCTGTAAAAAATGTTGACAAAGCCTTAAGAGCTTCAAGCATTTCCTGAAAAATACATTGTGATTTATCAATAAAACAAAGAGCAAGAGTTAAAATAAAAATTAGGCCAAATTAATTTATTTAAAAAAAAAGGGATCTAGGCCTAAAAATACTTAATTTAAAGTCTTACAAATATTAATGAATGAATAAGCTAATAATAGTTAGTAGGCCTAAATTATTTACTGATAAACTAATAAATAGTAGTTAATAACGGGCCATCCATAAATAATATCAATGATCAATTTCATTAGGTACTTAAGTAAACTTTACAAATATATAAGTATTACGGTTTTAAAGAGCAAAGTTTAAATTAAAAATTAATAATTAATTAATAATAGGTTTGGCAGTTTTTGAGCTACGGATTTCCAAAGTATGTGTTTGTTTGTCCCTTTTTATCATGGAATGCATCTCCAGATACTGTGACCCAATACCTCTGTTAGTGTCGAGAGCTATAATGATAATTTTATACAATTTTTTTTTTTTGCAGGATTAAAGCTATATTAAAATAACTGATTTTAAAAATTAATTTTAATAATATTATGCAATTATAAATAAATTCTAACTTATCTTACTATGTTTTATATATTATTAAATTGAATATATGTGGTAAGGCTATTCTGTTTACTAAGTCTAAGGGTTGCGTCCATTATATAGTCTATATAGCATAAGGCATCACGTTACATGAAAAAAATAGTGTTTAAGTTTAGGAACTACTTATTTTAAGCTTTTGACTTTAGCACATGAATGATTAATCAAAGCTTTTCTTGACCAATGATTAATGTTACACGTAGGCCTTCAACAAAGTTATGAATGAAACTCTGAGAATAATGCTAATGTATATATGGTATACATGTCACTATGAAAGTTTTCCCATGTTAGTGGGTGTTCACTACAAAAAATGATAATTATTAGTACTCTACCAGGTTTTTAAACCTCAAATTAAAAATATTCCAGTTTAAATACCTCCTAAGTTAATACTAAAACACAAGTCAAATATCAAGTATCAAATACTTTGATGTCAAGAGTGGTAATTGTGAAAGGGGTGGTGGTCATGTCCATGTCAATTAACACAGTGACCATGACACTGCTTCTATCAGTGAACAGTTACAGGGATTTAAATTTAACTATTGTGGAGAAGTTGTAACCAGAAAAACTTGATTGATTATTGAAGATCAATTATATTATAGGTAATCTACCACTTCAGCGTCGGTTTTGATAAAATCATGTTGTTCAGGTTTAAAGTTCTATTTAAATGGGTATTATAATTTTTTTTATTGTTCCTAATAAGTTTAATAAATGGAAATATTTTTAATGACATTGTAAATATTCATTTCAGCACATAATAAAAGTAAAAGACAACATATTTAAAAAAATTTTTTAAATAATTTTTAAAAAGAAAAATGTAAACAATTTATGTTTATGTATGAATGAAAAGAAAACAGGGTTTGAGTTGAGTTCATTTATAGTTTAACTGCGGCTTTTCGAACCCGGGATTCAAGAGTGAGAGTTTTGGTTTATTAAAAAAATATTATTGTTGGGTTTGTAGTTTGTAAGACAAAACTTGGTATCAAATGAAAGATAATTGAATGCACTATATGTTTGTAAATATACTTCTTCAGTTTAACTAAAATAAACTATCACAAATGACACCTGAATAGCATTTAGTCTTAAGGGACCTGGGTCCGAAAAACGGCAATTCGGACCCGGGTCCCTTTAGACTTAGACTAAATGCTATTCAATTATCTTTCATTTGATACCAAATTTGTCTTACAAACCTAACAATAACATTTTGAATATTTTTTTTTAATAAACGCAACCTCTCACTCTTCTCCAGTTCCAAATAGTAGCCACTTTGATGAAAATTTCAAAACATTTTTAAAAATATAAAAATACTACAGCTGTATAGAGCCTGGAGAATAGATTACAAAAACACCAAGATCAACTTTCTAGCTCAAGTGGTTCAAAAGTTATGATTTTTTTAGTAGGGACCTCAAAACCACTTTTTTACTATGAGATTTTCCTCCACATTTTGTGACCCTCATTTTGCTTTTTTTTTAACGCCTATAACTTTATTATAAAATGAGACAAAAATATAATATTTACAGGGAACATAGTTAAATAAGAGTACTTCTAAATAAAGCCACAAAATATACATTTGTGACCCTCATTTTGCTTTTTTTTTAACGCCTATAACTTTATTATAAAATGAGACAAAAATATAATATTTACAGGGAACATAGTTAAATAAGAGTACTTCTAAATAAAGCCACAAAATATACATTATTTTTTGTTAATGTGCCGCAAATATTAAAAAAAAAAACACCTTTATTATTTGCATATTAAAAATGTATAAAAATGCTGACTTATCACTTATTTGTAATTAATTAATTAAAATTTTGTTTTAATTTTGTATTTAATTTCCCCAAAATGATAATAATAATAATATTCTTTAGATATTAATTGCATATTTTCTGTGGAATTGTTTAGCATTTATAAGCATAAACAAATATTAAAGGGATTATTTGTTTTATTTATTTAAAATTGACAATTACACTTTTTATTTTACCATTTTCTACATATGTATGCTATATATTACATTATTCCTATGAGTATGACAAAACAATCAGCATGTCATTTATTTTAAGTTTGTAATCTTGTTTTAAAAATCAACATGTATTATTAGAATCAACTTTGACTTTAGCTGCTAATAAAATAAGTTCTAGTCATTTACTAGAGGTAAGTACAGATTTTTATGATTGTTCTTTAGTAATAATATCTTAAGTAATTCTTGGATTGTAGTGCCAGAAAGTGTGTTTTTTCTTTGAGAAACCAAGGATTATATAATAATTCTCTTGTGGAATATTGTGATTTGTGATTAAATATAGGATATTTCAATAGCAAAGGAAAGTGAATATTTTAAAATGCTTTACTTAGTTTATGCCTTATGTAAGAATCACAATATTCATTAAAATTTTATTACATATCCTAAAATATCATTAAATATAATTTATTATAATAGGCCCTACAAATTAGTTGGGTTGGGTCTAGGCCTTAACCCAGATATAGTATACTTTGTATTATACTATACGTATACAAGGCCTATAGCCTATGGTCATTATATATATATATATTTATATACAAATAAATATTTATCTATAAATATATAAACTAATATAAATGATAAATATATTAGTTGTAATAAAAGCTTTTTATCTCACTCCTTAAATCATTTATAATAGTGTAATTACTATTATAATACTTTTACTAAGCCTATCACTCACTATCTAAGTCAAAACAAGAGCTCATCATTCCCATGTCAGTGTCAGCCAGGTCCATGACAACCAATCCAAAAATTAAAATCACTGATATTCAATAAGCCAATAATAATTATTTATGTTATAAAACATTTTTTATTTATATAAAATGATTTATTATTAGTTTTTTTCCCATTTACACTCTGGATAACAAACTTAATGAATTATTAATTACCCCACGGCTGCTATCGATAATTGGAAATAAGCAGACAAGCACGGTGGCCATGATGACAAATTACATAGCCTAAAAAAAATGACATCTTGGAAATTTGTTTTTGAAGCCCACCCATGGTCTACACTCATGAATTTTGGATATGTTGTAAATGAACCTATAAATTATATGAGCGGAGTTTTTTTATTATTGAGCGCATTTTTAAAAAAAAGTTATTCTTGAGTGAAGTTGACCAATTTTTAACTTCAATTTTCAAAGCTTTAATCTTGACGCAAAAAATCAAACGAACTCTTAATATAACAGGTAAGATGTCGGCTTTAAGTAATTGGCGGAAGTAAAATTATATTATTATGCTAAAAATCTATTATAAAACGCGAAACAATGATACCCTCAGTAAATTAAAAAGTAGAGGTCGCCATTATGACAACGAAAATACGATACCCGTTTTTCGGGTATTTCCAGTCGATACCGAGGTCTCTACAAATAGCCATTTCGTTACAGCTTAGTTTATTCCTTTAACTTTATATAGATACTTCGATGAAACAAGGGAGACTACTATTTTTTTTGTATAGGAAATGGGCGTCGGCGCCGAAAAATCCGAGTTTTTAATTTTCCGATGTGTGTGTCTATTTAGTATTAAATTAGTTCTTTCCACATAGATTTGAGTTCCGTTTCCGGCCTTATAATTTGGAAGACATCTTGGCCTACATTTCTAGCCAGCTATTTTGCTTTTTTCAATCGACCTTTATTTTGAAAATCTTTGGTATATATAAGGCATCTTCGCATACAAAATTTTTTGTGAAATAATAAGATAAGGTCCTTTTTGATTAAATCTGTATGAGCATTAGATATTGATCTATATCTGTGCCAAGTTTCATTGATGTAGGTCGTGTCTCACGTTTGTTACACTTGTCACAGTGACCCATATCACCATAAAGTGGCTCAGCCTAATTTCGCCATGGCGTGGGCCACGCCCCCTTTTTAATGGCGGAAGTTGCCGATACTTAGGAAATATTTAATTATTACCACTATATACATCAAAATATTTTATATTTTGTGTTTCAGAATGCATTTTGAAGACATTTAAACTGGAAATGTTTTAATTTGAGCTTTAAAAACCCTGCAGAGTCCATATTATAAATGATCAGAATTTTCCCTGTGCAACACGTTGTCATTGGCAACCATTCACAGCCACTTGCATAACGGCTACGTCGTAGTACTATCTCAGAGTTTCATTCATAAGAGTTTGCCGTGTGCAAAAGCTATTAAACCATTGGTCAGGGAAAGCTTTTATTAATTATTCATGTGCCAAAGTTGAAAGTTTAAAATAAGTCGACCCTAAACAGTATTTTAGCGATAGGGAATGCGTTGCCTTATATAAACTATATAGGCATTGCGCATGACGCGATCAGTGGAATGAGGTCACAGAATGTGGAGATGCAGTCCATGTTAAAAAATGACAAACCAAGTCGTACTTTAAAAATTCATAACTTTAAAACTACAACAGCTAAAAATATGATTTTGGTGTTATAATTCTGTTTAAAATTAGCTCTATTCAACTGTGCCATTAGTTGATTTTTAAAAAATGTTTACATTTTTGACCAAAGTATCTATTATATCATCTCCACAAAAAAGATTGTAGGACCTGAACTCATGTACTAATATGAAGGGAAAAGATCACAGCATCAACATATTTTCAACAGTCTGTGTGTGAACACCAGTGTCAATTGGATGGACAAACTTTTTATTGATGAACAACAAAACAAGGCCTCAACTGGGTGTTGTACTCAACTGTACTGTGTTTATTTTATTAGTTTATAATTTATAATCAGAACTGTTTTCCAAAATATTAGGGTGCAATCAGCAATGTGAGGGGCGGAGAAAATGTTCAGAATGTATGAAGCAAAGAGAAAATTAATAATTATCACCTTGTCATTATCAAGCCTTGTCTCTAAAATTTTATTTAGCTTTCTTGATAATGGGTTTGTTGATGCTTGAACCATCGAATCTTTCTCCTCCTTGTCCGCCATGTTTGTTGACACGATAACAAACTGTAGAAATAGCATTCAGTTCAAATTATTGTGCAAATAGGGCGAGCAGAGGCTGTAAAAGATATTAGAGCACAAGTTGAAATAATACAAACGTTTGTTTTTCAACCTACTTGATATGTTATAGCGCTGTCCAGCCATCTTACTTTGAGTATATGAAATTTTAAATATTCTTTTATATACTGAAAAATACAAAAATCACCATCTAAACCAGTGGTTCTCAGCATTTCTAGTGCCGCGACCCTTAATACAGTTTTTTTGTGTCGTGGCGACCCCCCAGCCACACAATTATTTTCGTTGCTACTTCATTTGCTGTAAGGATATATGTTTTCAGATGGTCTTAGGCGACCCCTGGAAAAGGGGCCCGCGACCCCCAAAGGGGTCGCGACCCGCAGGTTGAGAACCGCTGATCTAAACATACTTTAATATATTTTTTTTTTAAATTGTCACTTACTTACTTATGCCTTTCTACCCCGTCTGGGGCATAGGCCGTCTACAAGAACTTTCCACTCCTCACGGTCCTGTGCTTTCCTTTCCAATTGCTTCCAGGTGTATCCAATATTTTGGGTGTCTGCCTCTAGCTCGTGTCTCCATGTATTCTTAGGCCTTCCTCTCTTTCTTTTTCCCTGTGGGTTCCATGTTAGGCATTGTCTGGTGGTGCTATCTGGGTTTTTTTCGGAGCGCATGCCCTATCCATCTCCACCTCTTCTTTATGATATCTTCATCAATGGGCACCTGGTGTGTTCTTTCTAGTAGATCTTTGTTATTGATCGTATTTAGCCATTTGATTTTCAAGATCTTTCTAAGACATGTATTTATGAATGTCTGCGCTTTCTGCATAAGGCTCACCGTTGTTTTACAAGTTTCTGCACCATATAGTAGGACTGTTTTGACATTAGTGTTAAAGATTCTGACTTTAGTTTGCAGTTTCAGCTCCTTCGACTCCCATATTTTCTTTAATAGCACAAATGCCGATCTAGCTTTTCCAATTCTGGCCCTGACGACTGCATCGGATCCACCATTTATGTCGATGGTGCTGCCTAAGTATGTGAAGGACTCCACTTCTTCCAGTGCCTTTCCTGTCAGACATATGCTCATGGTTCGATTGGTTTACCTTCATGATTTTCGCCTTGCTTTTATTTATATTAAGACCAAGCTGTGCTGAAAGGGTGGCTACGTCTTTTGTCTTTTCCTGGATTTGTTGCTGGTTGCGGGACAGAAGCGCAATGTTGTCTGCAAAGTCTAAATCATTCAGTTGTTCCCAGAGTGTCCACTGTATCCCATTCCTCTTTTTGTCTGTGGATTTTTTCATTATCCAGTCAATGGCAAGGATGAATAGAAATGGGGAAAAGAGGCATCCTTGTCTGACTCCTGTTTCGACTGTAAAGGAATCTGTGAGTCTACCTTCGTGGACCACCCTGCATGTCATTTCTTCATAGGAGCTCTGGATGATCCTGACTAGTTTCCCTGGTACTCCATAGTGCCGAAGAAGTGTCCACAAGATGTGTCGGTCCAGGCTATCAAAGGCCTTTTTATAGTCTATAAAATTTATATATAGCGGGGAGTTCCATTCGATGGACTGTTCTACAATGATTCTTAGTGTTGCGATTTGATCTGTGCATGATCTGTTTTGGCGGAAGCCGGCCTGTTGATCTCGTAGATGCATGTCGACCTGGTCTTTCATTCTGTTCAAAATAATTCTGTTAAAGACCTTTCCTGGTACAGATAGCAGTGTGATTCCTCAGTAATTTGCATCATTGTGAGATCCCCTTTCTTTGGGATCTTGATGAGCTATCCTTCTTTCCAATCTTTTGGAACTCTCTCTTCTTCCCATATCTTTTCAAACAGAGGGTGCAGCATGTTGACTATTGTATTTATGTCAGCTCTCATCATCTCTGCTGTGATGTTATCCAGTCCCGGTGATTTCCCTATTTTGAACTGCTTGATGGCCATAACTATTTCTTCCTTATTTGGTGCACCTTCTTCTATTTGTAGGTCTTCATTTGCTGGCTGTATGTCTGGTGTGTCTGTGGGTGGGGGTCTGTTTAATAGTTCTTTAAAGTATTCCATTCAACTTTTTTCTCGCTCTTTCCTTTCTGTTATAGATCTACCTTTTCTATCTTTAACAGGTCTCTCCGGCCTTTTGTATCTCCCTGACAGTTTTCTTGTTATGTCGTAGAGCTCTTTCAAGTTGCCCTTCCTGGCTGCTTCTTCTGCTGTCGATGCTAGGCCATCTATGTAGGCATTTTTATCTTTGTTAATGCTGTTTTTTTACCTTTTGGTTTGCATCTTTATATCTCTCTTGCGCTTTCATTTTTCTCCACCCTTGAGCGGCTGTTGTTAACTATATTTTTCATTTCAATTGTCAATGTATAATAAATAATAACAAAAATGTTGGGGCTGTGTGGTCCAGTTGTTCATGACTGGACATAATGCCTCGGGAATACCAGGACTAACTAAGCAACGTATTTCGAGACACGGCTTAAAGGCTACGGGAGTAGAAGGCGGTATGACGTTTTGCTCGCAATGAAAATTCACTGGCATTCCTGCGACGATCCTGGCAACGCCGACCTTTAGGGTGTGCGACCTGTGCCCTCGCACAGGGCGCCCAGTAAAAATTTAAATTCCTTTAGTTTATAATAGTGAATTGTGAACCTCGGGTCCAGGGTTGAGAAGCGGTATCCTAACTTTGCGCACACGGCGTGCGCCTTAGGGAGCCATCAACGATCTCCCAAAAACAGGAAAAAAACATTGCATGTGGGTGCCATGGAAGAAAAATAGAAAGTGCAATAAAAATATTCCAATACAAGTTAACAAAAACAATTTTATTTTTCATTGTTTGTTTCCCCCCAAAAAACATAGGTAAAAAACTCATGACCTTAATAACCAGTTTTTTCCCCTAATGATTATACTCAAAAGGGGCGCCAAAGATAAGCTTACACTGGGCGCTAGCAACCGTCGGGCCGTCCCTGCCGCGCTTGGCAACAAGCTGCATCGTCCATTCGATGATCTCTCAGGTTCACGTGCTGCGTTAAGAAGGGAGTCTGCTGACTGGGAAACAGTTATTTATTTTTCTTCATAATATAAACACCTTTCCCAATATCCCCAGATTCGCCCCTCCCAGCGGAACAACACCGTTGTCACCTGGAGACGGACGGATGCCTAATTTATATCTGCTTCTGGTATGACACCATTTTCACTGTTTGACCTCACAATGAGATAATTATTTCTCTGTATAAACATAGATTCTAATTTTTTTTATGAACACAGCCTTTAAGATTACAGAGGCATGGTTGGATAATTTGAATATCTTATTTGAATAAGAAATTCTATTTTGGAGTGCATAATTTGTGATAGGAGAATCTTTTTGGAGTGCATCTTAGTATTTGTGATAAGAGATTATTTTGGGAGTGTTTCTTAATATTTGTGATAGAAGATTCTTTATGGAGTGCATCTTAGTATTTAATTTGTGATAGGAGATTCTTTTTGGCCACATTTATTTCTACTGTGGCCGCCAGAAATAACTTGTTAGGAATTTTCTGGAATGTGTTTCAGACAGTATGTACATAAATAAGAAATTTGAACTTTTAACAGTCTCGTGATCACTTGATTTCACTCTGCACACCGGCCTTGTTTTCCGTGGCCATTTCGTATTTATCATTTCGTACTTGTTATTGCGTATCTATCATTGCGAAGTTATTATAGGGTGTTCATCGTAGCATATTAAGGATTTGTACCTTTACTTGAATTAACTTTCAGAACACATTCACCCTTAAGTTGTGTCCCATGCATCATCAGTTAATCAGAACCCCTGGAGTAGACAAATAGTAAACTGCAGGGGGTCGGCGTTTTCCTTTTCACACCCCCCCTCCCCCTTTTTTCTTTCCACCAAGGCCAAGTAACCGCTCAGCTCAGGTATGTTTTCAAAGGATATACTGGAGCCGATTTGGGCCAAGAGCCATCATTGCAACAGATGTACACAGTGGTTGGATGCACTGTTGTTCAAACTAAGCCGCTTGAAAAACCATAGCATTTTCTGCCGAATGACATACTGAATAAAATGTAGCAAACAAAATGTACAACTAAGGCCCATAACTATGATCTGAATCGACAAAGTTATCGTTTCCGTCATTTAGTCCCACATTTCCGTTTTAAATTTAATCGGTTGTTTCCCCTCTAAGAACCATCTTGAAATCTGATCATAGCCAAAGTCTGACAATGTTTAGTACTGAATGAGGAAAACAAATTCAAACCAAAATCTTCCAAACGAATTGTTTGATCAGATCTTGTGGCGTATCTGTTGACCGACCAAAGCAAGCTGCAGGAACTAGTGATTCGAAGATTTATGTCAAGGACGACCCTAACTTTCTCCGCTCCCACCCTCCCCAACCTGAAAAAGGTCAATTGTATCTATGCAGAAGAGACGCTGATGAATGTCTTTCTTCATCACCATTAAACAGATCAAGTATTGAGCTGGGCCTGTGGCCTCCGACACGAGGTCATCGTGAAGAGTTTGCACGCTGCCCTCGGAGATGATTGTCTCAAATTAAATCATATCATTCACCACCCAGGCAATAAACATTCAGAACTTTTGTTTTTTCAAACTGAGATAACAGCAGAATGGTAACATTTAAAACGCAGATAAATTAACTAAAAAGACCAGTGTGCCGGCTTTTGTAGTTTTGTAGGCACTGGATTAACTGCTAAGACTGGAGGACAGATTCACAAATACCTACAGCCCATAAATACATAAAGCCCACAAATACCTCCAACCCACAGATAAACATATTCAACAAATACCTACAGCCCACATACCTACAGCCCAAGACAATCAGGGACTGGAACAAGCTTCCAAAAGGAGCAGTTGAGGGGACAACACTTGACACATTGTGTCTATTGCCCCAGGCCTTCCAACCCCGAGTACATGATAACATCACTAAGTAGCCCTTGTAACCAGTAAAATATCCTTAACACCAGGCACATAAACATTTCAAAGCC